CTATATCTACAGTTTTGGTCCTAAACCATCCAACGGCATCATCTGTCACCTGTGTCAGACTGGAAACCTTCTCGTACAGATGTTCAAACTGTGCTTCAAGTTCCATTCAATCACACTTACTGGGGTACACCGAAAAGTTTAAACAGAAGGCCAAGCCTTCTAGTTTGTGAGGAGTTAGTGAGACTTCGGATAAGTTTTGTACGTACTTCTGTGGGTTTCTTCGGGTCACCTCAGTGAGACACTCAGAAGAAATGTAACTCAAGATTTGTTGCTTTGTTTGCATCCTTGTTTAGACTTGTAAGCCAGGAGGAAAGATGTAGAACTTCACACGGCAAACAAGATTTAGTCCACTCAAGGCGTGATCCACACATCTCACCTTGGCCTTTCTTTGCGTACAACGGTGGGTGGAGACTTCGATTTGTGATTTCGTAAGGCGTTTTAAATTGCGCGGATTAACGACGACTTGGTAGATGAGTATTTTCTCCCTTTTACTATTTTGCTTTCCTGTTAAGTGAGCCAAGTTCTATGTGGAATGTATCTTTCCTAAATAACCCACGATACTTAAACATTACCCGGTTTTTTCAGAGTAATCTGTCAAAGGGACTGAGTTGATAAATCTATGATCAGGCACCAAAGTGCCTTGTATTGCACTTTGATTGCTTGACTAGTTCGACTCACTTCTCGCCAGATTGGCAATAAGAACAATGTATAAGATCACCAAAATGTATGTTCTACTTAGATATTGAATACTTACACGATAAATTGGAAGCAAGGACGAGGTGTATGAAGTTAATCACATTGATGAACAGCTAAGCGCAAGAAAACGAATCCAGGGGCGTCACTGACTCCGACAATGCGGCACGTCCGATAGAGTCCCTAACCATCTACGAAGACTGCGCTTACCTGCTTGATCAAGTCTCTCGGTCAGTTTCTTGTACCTCTATACCACGTCATCGATTGAACACCTCGGGGTTTCGCCCAACTTGGTGCAGCGACGGCGTATAATGCTCGCCGAGGAAGGCGGTTAACTGGTGTACGGAGTACATGACCTAACCAACCTTAGCGATTCAACTTCAACAGAAATTGAAGTGAGGCACCGGAGGGTTTCTTGTCAAAAACCAACTGGCGGATCTCTGCATTGCTCACCCTGTGTTCTCACTTGATGCGTTCAATGCTGAGTGAGATCCGGTGATCAAAGACAGCCAACGGTTTGATATCTTCCGTACGAACTGGTCAGTGCGTATATTCGCCCCTATGTCAAATACACAATTCAGGCGTGGCAGCTGTGGTTAAAGCACGAGCTTACTGCACTTGAGCTACCTCAACATCAAGCATCTAAATACATCATCGGAATGAGCAATCTATCATACAAGCAAATACTGGAACGTTTGAGAGTATTTTGCTGACCGTAAGGCCGATTACGTCGCTGCCTGACAATGGCATACCTGATTCTAAACAACCCAAATCATGTTTGCGGTGAGAGGGACTACTGTGTTAAAACCGATAAGTCCATCCCTTTTACAATACAATTACCAACTGCCATTTTCACTAACATTTTTCGATATCCCGCCTGATCACCCTACTAAGCTTGTAAAGTATTGCTACTTAAGCCGTATGAATTCCCTGTTCAACTTTTGATCTTCCGTTGATTTGCTCGCGTTAGTCTCTTGGATTTTGTTTCCTTTGCCGACGCTCGCGTCAATGGATGTCAGGGAGTATACGCACAGAACTCATCGAATCACGGAAATGGTGAGCTGACAAAAAAACTGTCTCCACCTCGTCTGCAGACTGAAGTGCCACTTGAGGTACTCTTGCTTCCCCATAGGGAGCAGTTAGCGTGGCGGACAATGCGAACCAATTTGGCCGGTTTAGTTGGGATTCCCATTTCCTGACATATATGTTCCCACTGTTTCAGATCGTACAGCAATTCGCCCATATGTAGGCTCTAATCTACGCATCGGATATCCCCAAAATCTCACGACGTTCGGAGTGGCGCAGACCGCTGCAAAGGCAGGCAATGCTCATTTGCACCGTTCGTCCGGAGACCGCTTTTGTCTTCAAGTCATGTGCAGTCGATGCTGCATATATTTACAGAGGCAGGGTTAGACGGGGCATAGTTATCATGGAAAGAGATGTTGAAAGTGCCCACGTGCATTATGACTATGATACAGAAATCGATTGCTGTAATTAGCAAGCACTTTCTGCAACGTCACTGTGGTGATATTCTGCTGCAATTGTTCGAGGAAACTCGACTTGTTTCTGTAAACCCTTCGTTTCAAATATCCCCACAGAAAAATCGGGTGACCGTGCGGGTCACTCGATGGGGGTCTCCACAACCGCTCCAACGTTGTCCGAATTGCTCGCAGTGATATTTTCGCACCGATTGAGCATAATGTGCTGGGGTACCATCATGCTGCAATCATATGGTACTGCGAACTCCGTACGCCTCCAACTCAAGTCTGGAGCCATTACTTGTACGACTATTTTAGGGTTGAGTAATATAAAACAACGATCCGGGAAAAGAAAAATGGTCCAGCGATTTTCTGATCGGCAACTTCAGCCCAGATCATCAGCTTGGCCCTATGCTGAAGACTTAACGCTGTGTATCTGCGTGCATTTGAACTAGCCCAGAAATGTTGTTTGTCCGTTCCATGCAAATGGAAAACGGACTCATCAGCAAACATTACGGATTGAATGCACATGTGATGCAAAAACCAACGGCAAAATGTATTCCGTTTATCCGGATCGTTTGGATTCAATGCCTGAACCTGGTGTGTACGAAACCAACCAAGATTGCGTTCTTTCAAATTCTTCGGAATCGCGTAGCGGGTGGTGTCACAATGCTTGGTGATTCTGCGTATGAGGTCTGGCCTCTCAGCTACTCCACGTACAACGGTGCAAGCTACAAAATCTGCAGTACTAGTGCGAGGCCGTCCGGGTTTTCTGGCATCGCACATACTCCCAGTTTTGCGGAACGTATTCACCAGTTGGAGCACGTAACGGCCGTTGACGGGTCACTTTATAACGTTTAGAGAGATAAATCTTCGAACTGTTTTTGCGGCGTTTAAGTCGCATTTGCCAAACAGCTGAATAATTGGAACGCGGTGAGCGTCAGACACGCTACGGCATTCCGGTTGCAGGAACGTCAGCCCCGGGAGTGTAAACTCGTGTTCCATGGGTGAGACAGCGACATTCTGTCCTCAAACCCTGATCAGAATGTATCGATCCTCTACTTATCCGTCGTCTGCGCCTTATTGCTTGCAGCGCCGTGCTATTTAGTGTACGCAGACGCCGCGAATGTGTGCGTAGGTGCATCATGTGAAATCCGATTGGGTCTCCGAACTGCCGTTGGAATTCCTCGGGGTTTTCTCAGGGAACGCAACGTGCGGCAATTTACGGTGCATCAATGAAAATGGTGACATTTCCCGGGCCTGCCATAGTTTTGGCAACTGACCTAGCTGTTTTGGAACATGAGACGTCATTAGTTGACATAAATCTTTATTAATTTTCACCCTACTTGCTCCCGTTTCAGTAGCTGTTCCCCAACCAAGCTCTTGTTTCAAGACATTGACTTCTTATTTTTAGCTGGAATTAGGATCTTGCAGAGGATTAGGTCATTTAAACCAGAACTGCATCAAAGTGAAACATCCAGGAATCAGACTACAACGGTCGCACGAAAACGCGTCTGCTGGCTGAACAAAGACCCTTTTGAACTCCCGTGCTTCATTCACCCCGGCTTCGCTTGCTTTGTCTTGATTACAACTCATCTGCTTTTGACTTACACTTACTTGATCTGCTTCCAATTAGCAATGCACATGGCAATTTCAATTCTATATACCCTCCACTTGCTGGTGCCTGACTGTAGCTGTTCAGTATGCTCAGGGGCTTGCCTTTTTTGTGTCACTGTGGCGCACACTGTTCGGTCTGTTAGTTCTCACCTTTTGTCCGCCCTATCTTACCCATCGTGCCTTCTTTCACCAATAACGAACTATCTCTCCAAATAACTAAATAGTCAAGTCAGGAATACACTTTTATGCACCCATGGCGAGTGACTTTTGAGCCGTAACGCATGCTATCTACATTTTAATAACGATCCCTTAATAGGGGGCAAAGATCAAGCCCAATGGAATACATAACCTCACTGTCAAAATTTACCGGTCAGTTCTTGAATAATATAGCACCAAATTGTAATCTAGTTGGATAGGGAATGACCGATGCACCGTAAGCCCTCTGGCGGGCCTATGCTGCTACGAGGTAGATTTACAGTGCACGGTGTAGAAGGCAGATGTTGTCGGTGATGAAACTTAGAATGAAGTCGTATGATAACGGAAGATCGCGCTCGAGCGCCGTAAAACGAAAGTCGCCTGATTTTGGTGAATATTTTTTCGCGTACAGTGACTACGATACATCGTGGCTCAGTGTGAATCCAGGATATTTTAGTGACCTACAGAAGCTCAAACTGTTACCTTCGTTATGAAGTTCAGGTCCGACTACTTTAGTCGCGACTGTCAACTCTACTTACGCTGTGTGTGGCCCTGAGTATTTTAGGATATAGCGCCATATAGCTCTTCTGGTGTGTTTGCTATTTTCTCCTGGTCGGATTGCGGTTTTTATTTGTAGTCTCAACGTATATGCAGAGTGAAGCTGCCTTGATGATGCGATAGTGCTTTTGCTGAATAAACTGTTGCATATGCTAACGCATTGTTGATGTGGTATAAACACCTTGATGCTGAGTGCACACTCGAAGCAACTAGGTTTGTGCTAGACTCACCTTGGCCTCTTTTTGTATCCCATTGACACTGCCACAAATTTTGATTCATTGTTGTTGTTCTTGTTGTTGATGATGATACTTTCTCGTGACTAAATGCTTTTAAGATCGTGATAACACATTTGCCATTCTTCATAACGAAAACGCCCGCCCTCATGTTTCCCAGCCTTTCTCTGTCAGTCTCTTTGTTTTCACCGCTGCATTCTAATCTCGCGGTTCGGTTTCGTTGCAGCTCCCCCTCGACCTGAACGATTGCTCAGCAGAGGAGAAACAACGACGTCTCCTCAGGCGCTCTCCACGTACTCGTTTGGTACTTCATGAAGAGCTGGAGGACACCTTTGACAGTAGTGCTTACGATTTTCTTCTAAAATAGAACAGTTTCTGATTTCATACCTTTTTGTTCAAAATTGCAAGCGGCTGGGTTGCGGTAGCTTTGTGATTTCCCTTCTCTGCGATCCACCGGCAGTTCGTTCTAATCGACTTGGCCAGGTACGGTTCCATTTGAAATAAGTGTTGCACCACTTCGCCATCCCGACCAACTTAGTAGGCGATTTTCTACAGTGCCAGCATCATTATACACTTTAGATGCTGGTGGAAAACACCTCAGCTATTGTGCCGCAATACAAAAGATAAGAAAAGGAAAACAAACTGTGGCACGCCGGCTGAGTCCCCAGTAACGGATGGACATCGTTCCGGAGAGCTAACAGCTGGCTATCGTGCCGTAAAAAGAGAGTCGTATTATGCCTAGCGAGTTAGGTCGTGATTGGAAGTGGATAGACAAAGGAATTCACAACGCCATTGGGGCCGGCTCCAAGCCATATCAGCAAGTGTGTCCAATCAAACGTGTTCACCGTCTTTAGAACCCCAATCAGGTTGTCGGGATGCACAAACCGACGCCAACTTCGAAGTGAGGGTTTTCATCTCTCTCAACCAAGTCATCGCTTGGCCTCTCCTCCTCCTATTCCAACCGCACCCACAACGCGCAAACAATGCACGTCGCGGAAGTCGGCGCGCTGGCATGCGCAACGAGTGGCCCAACCATCGGAGCCTGGTGCGTGATAGAATGGTGCTGAGCGGTTCACTCGCTTTTCCTGCACCAAATACGCGAGGCCGAACACGCTCATTGCTCACGCGGTGCTCCCACCAGACATGAGCTAAGCTGCGAAGGCAGCGATGATCGAATATGACGAGCCTCTTTATGTCTGTCGACCTGATGGGCCAGGTTTCACAACCATATAGGAGAGTTGAACGAACGACTGCGTTATAAACTCTGCCCTTCAGGGCGAGAGCAATGTTGCTTCTGCGCCACAGGTGGCGGAGATTGGCAAAAGCACCTCGAGCTTTCGCTATACGGTTCGTAACCTCATCTTCAATCCCACGGTTGCTAACATAACTTACAGTGCCAGCAGCAACCATGCTTTCGAGCACACAGCTTCCGCACATCTCAATGAACTTGGATGTATGGTGGAATCGGCTTTTCTAGCAGCACCGCTTATATGACCATCTTCAGCACTTTACTTACAGGAGATTAGCTACTGATGCGCAACTTTGATGATCGTTTATCGAAATAATGGTTTCTGGGACGCAGTCCGCACGTCGCTTCAGGTTCTCCGCATCTGCACCCACAAGTTTAGGACAACACTGGCTACAGCAAAGTGACACCGGAGTCCTTCCTAGCGCCGTCGCATATCGCCTAGTCAACACAGCGATGGGCCGAACATTTTCCCTCGTAGTTTTCCTGGCCGCCAGCTCCATCCGTTTCCCCTGAGGCGCACTGGTGCTGAGTGGACTATCCACATTGATCCTCCCTCCTACCGGGAACTCTGCTGCCTAAACGGTTATAAGGCAGCCGGCCCTGATGGTCTACTTCCTACTTTATTTAATATGGGGGCTATTCACTGGTTCGAAAACTCACCTGTTTGTTCTCGAAAGTCTGGGCAAAAGAGGCGATTCCATCTTCCTAGAGTGAGTCGATAGGTGTCTTCGTCCTCAAAAAGAGCCCGTACACATGCTTGCTTCCCTTCATTCACAAGGTTCTGGTGTCCATCATTCTTCGTAGGCTATCCCCAACGCGTGAATCACTGCAGCGAGGAGAACAGTCTGAGTTCCGCCCTGGTCGCGGCTGCAACGATCAGATTTTCACTCTCCGCCAGATCCTCGAGCTACGCCATGTGTACCAAAAGCCAACGATTATTGTGTTCCTGGATATCCGTGCTGCTTTAGATTCTGTCGACAGGGCTGCATTGTGGCACTGTCTGTTGAAGAATGGCATTCCCGGGAAGTTCGTTTCCCTACTAGGCCTCTCTGTAGTCTAACTTCGGGTAGAGTTGGGGTTTGTGGGAAACTTTCGCCTTCCTTTATTGTCGCCGGTGGAGTTCGACAAGCATGCCCTATCTCTCCATTCCTCCTCAACTTTGTCATTAAGGATGTCCTCAAAAATGCTCTAGAAGACGTGTTGAACGATGGTTTTGAGCTCCTCCCAGGTAGTCGGGTGGTTGATTTGGATTACGCTGACGATATCAGCTTGTTGGACTACGGTCCGCAGGCCGTCCAACTTGCACTTAGCCGCCTGGCGATTGAAGCGTTGAAGGATGGCATGCACTTTTCACCATCCAAGTGCAAAGCGCTTTTCCAAGACTGGCATACGCCTTTACCTGCACTCACCATCGATGGTGAGACGTTAGAAGTTGTACAGAGTTTTGTCTACCTGGGAAGCTGCATAACTGCTGATGGGGCTGTTGGAAACACGATTTCCATGCGCATCTCAAGAGCTCGCCCCGTCTTCTCCAGGCTATTTATGGCGCCGCCATGACATCCGTCTCTCCATCAAAGGGCGCGTTCATAGTGCGACCGTCCGCACTGTACGGTTACGAGACTTGGCCTGATCGTACCGATGACCTGCGCCTACTGTCTGTCTTCGAGAACCGCTGCTTGCGGTCCATCGCTCGTGTGTGGTGGTTGCACCACCTAACCAACGTTGAAGTCAGACAGCATGTCTTGGATGGAGGCAGCCGCTTCCTCTAAGCGCTTGTCTCGCTGCGCCAACTACGATGGCTCGGACACGTACTGCGTCTGTTTGTTCAGCGTCCTCCGCGTTGTGCCTTGTTCGCGGTCGCTGGGTAGGGCTGTAGGAGACGGTGTGTTGGACAGCCTATAACTTGGTGAAGCAACATAAAAAGCTGATAAAACATCTGGCTTCAGGTGGTGCTTCTCTACTACCTGGATAGGGTCCCAAAGATTCTGAGTTCCCATGGTTAGAAACCTTGGAAGTCATGTCTCAAAACCGAACTCACTAGCGGGCGTGTATCTCTACTTGTTGCGGTGATTCAGAAAATCTCGCAAACCGTGAGCAGGTAAATGGACAAAAAACTGTTTGTTTTTCTTTCTTCTTTTACACTGATCCTGTTTCCCTATTCTGCCATGGTTCCGATGGCACGATATCTGTACACAGCTTTTGATAAATATATATATATATATATATATATATATATATATATATATATATATATATATATATATATATATATATATATATATATATATATATATAAATCGAATGCAGCGTACCTACAGACGCTGCGCCGGTTCTGCCTGCGTTCTCTGCGTGCTTGCATGCTAAGTCTCTTTATTTCAGGTGGTTGGTTTTCAATTTTGCCCTAATGCATTTCTTTCTCATATAAACGTCTACCTGTACTCTATTCCATTAACTTGCACATCTCGCTTAAGCCAATTGTATTCGATTTCCATAACATTTTCGTGTTCTTGGCATTTCCGTAAAGTATACTTTCTGACCTCGTGAACTTATCTAGGATTCGTATGTAAACAACTTATTTCATATGCTCATTAATTTAAGGTCTATGTCAGCGTTTCCTTATGCATTAATCGAGTTATTTTATTTCTGTCTCTCTCTCTCAAGTGATTGGCTGTTGCTTGATATCCCCCATGTGACTGCGCTCGATGTGCATGTTGACAAGGTGCCTACCTGTCTATTACCCACTACCTCGTCCATCTGGCTCCAGGAGACAGTTGGTCGTTGCTGGAGGAGACGGGGTGTACGGTCCTTGTGATCGTGCTAGGCTCGAAGAGTGGTTCCATGCGTTCAGTGTGGAACGGACTACGGTCCAGCCACCGCCTTGTGTGCATTTGATTCCCCAAGTACAGCGTGCTTGTGTTTGCTGTGAAGGAGTGTGGGCCGGCTCGGTTGATGAAACGTGGCTCCCATCCGCATGCCTCCCGGTCTTATTCCTTCGGGTTTGCACTGGATATGGGGTGTGTGGATGAAGCTGTGGGTGGTGCAGCGCAAGCCATCCATGGTCCCTATGTAGGCGCAGGCGTCCCGTGGCTGGCCACAGGCAAATCCGAAACCGGATGCCGCCAACCATATATATATATATATATATATATATATATATATATATATATATATATATATATATCAACTGTTGGATATGCTAACCAATAAAACAGCACAGCAAACTTTCAGATGAAAACAGCGTTGCGTTACGACTGTTGGGAAGAACATCATCCGTCACCTGCGAACTGCCGAATCACAGTCCCCGGTAATTCATAAGATTTACAGTGATCTCTCCGACCTATCCATGTTGGTGAAAACTGCCGCTGAATATAACTGGCTGCAACATTTGAGGGCAGAGGGACTTACCTTTGATGCATCCAGCAAAATCCTAACTGACATGCAACTCTGCTTATCCCAAGCTGCCATATAAACCCAGGAGTTTCTGACATCACAGTCTAGCTGGCCGTCTTTGAAGTCAATTAGAGTGCTTGACTTCAACCAGCTCATCACCTTCCCTAGTGATTCATGCAACTATGCTGGATGTTCCAGGCCTGATTAGCTTCCCAGCTCTGGCAACCGAGTGCTTAATCTATGAAGAAGTGGTGGAAGAACTTCAGGGAGAAAAATGTGAAGACACGCTGGCCTTCTGGTCCGGGATGCATGAAAGAACTCCACAACTGGCAGACATCGCTGGGCGTTATCTATGCATTCCCGTGAATTCGGTAGATGCCGAACGGAGCTTTAGTGCCTACAGAAATGTTGTGTCTGACAAGCGTCACAACCTTTCAGACCGTAGCACGAAACCCCTTGTTGGGCTTTATTTTAATTCCTCTGTTTTGAATCATGAGTGATAAGTACACCGTGGATGAAGCTGCCTTGATTTCTGTTTATTTTCGTTTTCGCGGTGAAACCGCCCGATTTAATGTTTACACCGCATAAATTTGGTGGAATTTTCGATTTCGATCGCGGGAAACATGTTTCCTCATCGCGCAAAATTCGGGTCTTTAGTTATTCCTCATCTAGCGCAATTTTCCCTAAACCCCAACCAATTCGTCGTTGAGTCAACCAGCCAAGTTACACTATGAGGCTATTGTAT